CATGAGGCCACACATTTATTTAAATCTGCTTGTCGGTTTTGCTCCATTCGAATTTCTATGTTTATGATAAATCCCCTCATAAAATAAAGTTCGCATCCCGCTAGAGAGAAAACGATGAACACTCTACCATACAAATGAATTATATTTTACAGTAGGTCTTCAGTCTCTGAAACCCGTTTCACTCATACTGCTTACTATAAACTTCCAATGTTCCTTTTATAATTAAAGCTCAAATTTAAATTTACCTTCCTTTACAGGTAGCAGTTAACAAATTTTGCCAAACTGAAGACAGTGCTGAAATGTTTACACACAGAATGTTTTTGTTGCTAATGTTCACCCCCAGGTATTACATGTTCAATATCAGTGGGCTATGGAGTGATTCGGACACTCAAGAAGGAGATGCGATTGATGGAACTAGAATGTTATTTGTCGGACTTTCTGATTCCAAGTCCGACCCATCATGAGGAGCAGTCAAAAAAATGGGTAGGAGAGGCATAGGAAACACAGCTGCTCGAAAACCACATCTCAGCACTAAGTAGCAGCCCTCGCATGCATCAATAGGGTCGTGCTTATAGCAATGATCGGTTATCGGTTCGTAGCTAAATCGTTAATTGCCGTGATTGCATCTCCATTACGCCTGTTTGGGCGATCGTATAATCAGGACAAGACCGTTTGTTGCCCTGTATCCTTGCGGCGAATTGTTGTCCATGTTAAACTTGAGGTCCCCATTTCCGACAACGTCGCAGTGATGTCCTCGTTAGGCGTTTGTTTGAGGTTCAATTTCCATGGGACATAGGACTGACGATCCTATAGCAAATTTTCGGCTTCCTGGACATAGGTTGTCCTTCTAACATCAAAGGTTACGCCGCTTGTCCGCAAGCACGATGGCGAGTTTCTTGTTGGTCTTGAGGTCCCTTAACGAGTCTCGGTCGACCTTGGGAATTACTTAGCGTGGTCGGTAATTGGTGTCAGATTCGGTTCTTTGGTACGTCTGTCACTTCCATCGGACTGTGGACAAAGGGTACTGCTGTAATCTGGTGAAGAGATTTAGTATCACCTGCGGTAAATAAGGCCTTGTACAGTAAAACCCATATTTTTTCCTCTTTCAGTGCCATGGAGGACAAGTCGTGCACAAATCTGCCCCTTTACAACAGACAGTCTCTGACTATTGGTTCATGTTAGCCTGCACAACGGAAAATATTTTCCCCTCTCACATTTCTCAAAGAACGACCCATTTAAGTGGTGACGCATACCACAATTAGTAAAAGATCACAGTGCTTTTTAAGAATTACTGGTGAAATATTAAGGTTCACACTCTTATGTATTTTCATGCACAATCCACTCTGAGAACTGCGTGATGCTTTTTAGTCACTATTCAGCGATACTCGGTCAGTGGGTTTCAAAACATGATTCTATGGAACTTAAATGAATTTTAAATATATATACGAGATTTCAATGACGTTTGCCTCCTAACGCATACACTTTCGAAAAAATCTGGACTATTTTAGACGGCATTCGTTTCCTTCTAACAGGGTCCGCATTTCATAGAGCGCGTAGACGTAAAACGATGGTAGAGAGGGTTCCGAAATTTTGCGCTTGGCACAATTGGTCTTTTTTATTCTGGAAAAATCTGAGTTACATGACGATATGCTTATTTGGCATCCACCACTAGGAATAATAAATCTAATCATTTCTTCAAAATACCGAAAAATGGAACTTAGAAAGTTGTATGTCAACTTACTTCTAACATCCGTGGCGCATTTTAAATACTTTGATAAACTTGGAACAAGCGTTTCTACTGCCGGGGACTTGGCAACCGAGCTGAGCAAGTCCTTTGTCAAACGCTAAGTTTTCAAAGTTATGAATTGTGGGTAGGGTCTAATTGATCGTCGGCTTGTGGATACATTTGCGAAAAATCTTCACTGTGAAATCAAGAATGTGAAAGTAAATTCATGCGCACAAGTACTTAAGGAATATAATTTTTATGCTTTTTGTAAATCATAGGTATACAAACCAGTATCTAGAGTTCAGAGTGCAAAAAATAAGCAAATAATAACGTGTAATTTGCGTTGTATACTCGCCATCGTGCACGACGTTTGCTGTTTAACGTGCGTGTATTTTATGCACAGTCTGCATCGTGTCGGTCGGACGGCTTGAGTAAGAGTATGCTATTTTGACTGCGCATATATATATATACATATCACAAGAAAAGGCGATCTCGGGAACCATAGTTTTACTGTCCTGACGTTTCAAAAGCATACAAGCTTCCATCGTCGGAGGTGAGTGTGGTATCGCGCCTCACAGTATTTATAGGTGGGTGACAGTCA